GTTGCAAAAATAATCCACCCTCTCCTGACACTAACATGGACTGCACACTGGTTTTGATGAGTACTGTTTTGTGTGATAGCATCAGAAAGGGAAAGGTCTCGGATCCTATCAACACACTAGATTTCTCTACATCTGAACAATAAACTCATTATCTTCCAACTCTCCCATACCACCTAACAGTCTTTTAATTCATCAACCCTCAGGCTGACCTATCACTTCCTCCCTAACACTGCGCATTACATTTGCAAAGACAACACTCAGCCTTTAGAGAAACACAGTGGTTCAGCTACACCTACACAGAGCTGCTTCATTCTGCTCTGCACACCATCAAACCATGCCTGGTATCCCAGTCATCCAAACCAGAGGACCCAAAGGAGCATCCTGCTGCTCCTACCTTGCCCACGCACCTAGGTTTTCTTCTAAGCAAAGCGTATGATGTCAGAGAGTAGAAGAATAACATGCACCCTGCACATACAGATCCCACTCCTGACACGTCGTCAGCACAGTTGTCGTTTGCTCCCAGGGATGAGGACTGTGGGCTGGACCATGCAGCACAGACCACTACGGCACTCAAAACTCTGCAGGAGCTGGGAGCTCCTGCCACAAAGCACTAATATTGCCAACCACCTCATCAGAAGTATCTTCTTTTGTGCAAGACAGCAACCCCTGACTCCTGCTGAGTTCCTACCAGCATACACTGCTCCTATTTTTGGAAAGAAAAATTGTCTGGCATGTTGTTTTAGAAGGGTTGCAACCCCTCATCTACACTAAAATGTCATTTTCTCCATGGGCTGATGTTCCCTTTTAGCAGCCACAGAGATAAGACCATGACTACCTTTTATTCTCTAACTCTTAAGCCCCACAATACACGTTTTTCTCAAAAAGCCAGTCATGCTATTTGGTGTCATTTGTTAGACACAACCTTATGTCCTAGGTAACGTTTTAGGCTTAACAAGTACAGCAAAGATTCTGCAACCCCAAATGCAGGACAGTACTAGAAAACAAAATCTTACCCCAAACTTCAAATTTCAGAATGATGCAGTGCAGAACTGCTTTTATAACAAGTTGTAGGCTTTAGCGAGTAGAGAACAGATGGGGCTTTTGGCATTCAGGGAGGAGTAGGTGTAAATTTTGTGGATTTGGCAA